GTGAGATACAGCGAACCGGTCAGTAATCTGGAGGTAGCCCATCACGACGAGACTGCACCTTGAAGTGGCGTGATGGCTTGTGCACCTCTCTGACCCAACGAGCTTTACGGGATGGCTTTTGTCAAGCCGCAGATCCAATCATGCCTGGAATGTCAATGGGTAGAGGTCAGACGAAGTCCAGTATCCTGGTCCTCCAGGTTGGGGGTTCGACTCGAGTTAGCGTCTCAGTCGGTAAAATGGTAGAGGAGTGATTGATCCAAGTAAATGGGCCTCTACCTCGCTTTACCCGCTGCTTTGCGGTCAGGTTCTTGTCAGAACTAAAGGCTTTGGACGGGAACCCTAGTCGTTCTCCTGCTTAGTGGCTGGACACCCTGGCAGTACTCGTCCATCAAACTCAAATGCATACACAACCAAAAAATAGTTCTTGCATCGGTCGTCGCGCAGGATAATCAGGACCGCGCTGCACATTACATCGAGCGGGGTGGGTGGTGATAAGCGGGCTACTGCTCAGATATCCCAACCTTTCTTTAACTCTATCTTCCGTAACCAACCCTCTCCCTTTACCCCTTCTTCCAACCCGTAACATTCCCTCAGACAACTTGTTCGTCACTCGCCAAGTAGCCCGGTAAGTATTTTACCACAAAATAGATTGCAGATTCTGAAGCCTCGTCAGCCACTGAATCTGGGGGCCTTCAACGTGAGGACTGATGCAGGTAGGTCAACAAGTGTGTCTGGCGCATACAATGGACTCTTTGGGGATTGATGTCTGCTGTGTGTCGGAGACTCGAATCCGGGATCCTAGTACTATATGCCACTTAAGTGCACCGGGGTTGTCTTCGAGCTTCTTCCTCCGCACGTGAGGTGATGACGAAGCCCGTTTAGTAGGCCAGCGTGGTGTGGACATTGTACTGAATAATGCAGCCGAAGCCGCACTACTCGATTGGATCCCCGTAAACAGCGGCTTATGTGCGATGCGGCTCCAAAGGTCTATCAGCGTCCGGAAGGGAAGCAACACCAAAAGGTGTTTATTCGTCAGTTCAGCGTATGCACTGATCAACTGCAGTTCTGATGCACAAAAGGAGGAGTTTTATGATAAACTCACCGAACTCATTCGGATGAGTCGAAGCTCCGATATAGTTGTTCTAGCAGGTGATTTTAACGCTCAAGTTGGAAAACTGAACGCATCGGAAGCTTGCCTAGGCGGTCCTTGTGCTCTGCCCTGACAGCGAACAGATAATGGCGATCGTCTCCTTCAGTTCTGCGCAGACCATCATATGTTCCCATCATGCACCAACTTTCGACACAGCTCTCAACGGACAGCAACGTGGTGCTCAAATTCAACTGGCACGCTAACTCAGATCAACCACATAGCAGTAAGCTACCGTTGGCGTGGCTCAGTACAAAACTGGAGGTTCTATTGGACCACCTTTGTTGAATCTGCTCATGCTTAATTTTTGATGCGGTTCACTGTCCAACCCATTGGTCACAGGATATCTCACCAAACTGGATTGACAGATAATCGCTTATCTGACCGAGCCGTTCGTGCCCGTTTTGAATCAGAACTAGGGCAAAAGCTAAATTCACTGAGGGGTGGTAGTGTAAATGAACAATGGGAACAGATTAGCCGAGCAATGCGCTCCGCAGCGAACGTTGCTTGTGGATCTGAAGCAGTAGCCCGCCGAGGCATTGGATATCTGATGATTCAGTATCACTGATGGAGAAAAAGCGGCAAATCCCAACCACCCGGGATCAAGGCAGGGTTTGGTGGCGTCTACAACGTCATCTCACGAGGAGCCTCAAGAAAGACCGTGAGAACTGGTGGGCAGCGATAGCTAGTGAAATAGAAGAAGCAGCCGCATCAGGGAATGGTCAAAGACTGTTTCAACTGATACCCAATACGGGAGGTCGGCGAACCACAGTTAGTGAAACAATCTGCGACAAAAGTGGAAAAGCTATTCACAATAAGGAACAACGGCTTGACCGGTTGGCGGAGTACTTCAACGAACAGTTCAGCTAGCCAGGCGCTAACCAGGCTATCTCCTCTGATATAGCTGAGGCTCCGTGGGCAGTGTCATCTGAACCTCCCACTACAGCAGGGGTTCGTTCTTGCATCCAATCCCTGAATAAAGGAAAAGCAGCAGAGCCGGACGGGCTGCCTCCCACTCTTTTCATGATGGGGCGATGACCTCGTAGACTCCATTGCTGGTGTAATGCTCGACATCTGGTTACACGAGCGCATTCCATCATCCTGGAGCGAATCACTGATCGTTCAGATTTTTAAGGGATCTCTCAATGGCTGCGCAAACCACTGTGGAATGTTTGATCCTAATCGTCACCAAGTTACTAGCCTCCGTTATACTTCGACGTCTGACGCCGTTTAGGGNGAGACAACTACCCGCGAACAACTAGCAGGATTTCTACCAGGTCGCGGTTCTATCGACCAAATCTTTGCTCTGCGTCAAGTCCTGCGGCTACGCCATACGCACCGTCGACCAACGGTTGTCGTGTCCCTTGAC